ACTTCAGCGCAACCACGCAAAAGAGTCCTGCGTGAAGTTCTTGTGAGAGAGCGGTCCCGGAATGACATATATTATATAATATAGTATAATCTGGGTCTCTTAAGACAAGCTTCTTTCTGTTTGAGCGGGCAATCGGTTCATGATTACACCAAGTGGGTGGGATACCAAAGATCCCACCATTTCTCCTGAGGCTCGGCAAGTGACCCAGGAGGCCAAGCAGAAGGTGAGCGGAGCGGCGGAGAAGGCGAAGGCGGAGCAGAGCGCTGGGAGGTGTCGCTTCGATCCACTTTTTTCTTGTGACCTGGTGTTTCATTTTGTCAAAAATCTTCAATGGAGAAGCCAGGACTCCTCAAGAAGCGATTTCTTACACCGACCTATTTTTTTTGGGCGGGCGGGGAGTGGCAGTGGTTTTCACTCAAGCCCAACAGGCGGAAGAAGAGATCCACGCCGATTTTCCAGGGATTTCGGAATTATGCCAGGCGGCTCCGAGGGTCGGAGGCTCTTCCTCGGGAAGCGGGCCGGCGGCCGCGGGGTTCGGAGGCTGCGGCCCCTTCCGCATCGCAGGAGGGTCTGGCATCGATGTCCAAAGGCATGGCGACGCTTTTCAAGTCGCGGTAGCCAAAAGGGGTGTGCGTCGTGCGGAAACGGATGGTTTCCGCGCGGAAACCAAAATGACATGTGACTTATGACTCCTTTGGTCACCTTTGTTCCAGAAACCCGCTCGTGATACCTCCTAGAGCCAGGAACCAGAGATCATTGTGGAAATTTACCATATAGGCAGTCACTCCAAGCACTCCCACGTTGCTAGAACCAGGGCTTTCAAGACCTGTCAAGCGGCATGCAGGTTGTCCGTTTTTTGGTGTGTCTTTGGAAGGCAGACTTGCCGGGTGTTTGGGGGGGAGAACGTCGCCAAGAGACCTGGCACCCCCGCCAGCAGGAGGATGAACAGAATCTGGGAACCACCTGAAACCACGTCAGCTTCGACGTCGCGGTCGCACTTCAGCTTCGATGAGGAAACGCTTCGCTGCGGTCTGCGTGTCCAGAGGTTTCGACCTGTTCGCCCGTACGCCCCACGAACCCTCCGCGCCATGGCGCTCGCCTTTGCGGTGACTGGACCAACAGCTCCCACGCGGGCAGAGCTGACACAGGGAATGCCAGCGGAGAGACCGGCTGAATGGAAGACTTCGGCCACTTGGGTTTGCAGGAGTTGGGTTTCAGGTTGCGGTTGCATGAGTCACGGAATGGACACCTCCTCATGGCATCTAGAGCCCCTCCGGCTCCTCATCAGTTGGTCATGTTGGAGGAGGGGGTAGGTTAGTGTAGCCTAGTGGAGGATGGTGGAGCCATGTCGAGCCATGTGGAGCCAGTTGATGCGTATCCGGCCCCATCCCTCCCGTGCCAGGTGAATCTGGCCTTCACCAGCATGGCCTTCACTGCGGTGGCCGCGCGGTGCGCGCGGACTCGCGCTCCGTTCCGCGCTCTTCGTCGCGCTCGTCCCGTGCCCGGGTCAATGGCGGTGGTGGGCTCACCGACTGAGACCTATGAGGAGTTGGTGCAGACCTCTGTCAAGCTGCGGGATGAAAGTTGGCAAAAGCGACACGGCGCAGTCGCAGTCGGTTTCTGTGATAGGTCGACTTGAAAAAGGTGGCGCAGTCGCGATTGGTCTCCGAGCTGATGTGATAAGTGAGAAGAGGCAACTACGAGGTCTGCACATCTTTAGAGTGCTTCAATTTCTCCAGGATGATTTGCACCTAGTGACACCTACAAGATCCTACACGCAAGATTGAAGGGTAGCCGGTCAGTGTAGCTGAAGTCCGTGGCTTTGAAGCTGTGCGAGCTGTCGCGTGCTCGTGTCGGTCTGTTTTTCACAGCGGCCCAGCTGATCGGCCAGTGGGGAGTGCATCCTGACCCATGGCCCTAGTGACCTAGTGGCCACGATGCCAAAGAGTGGAACAAGTCAAGACCTCCCAGCAATCTCCAACAATGAAGCTAACACAAACGATTACACCAACTCAACTGCGGATGACCACAACTAAGATGCATATGGAACATGCACCTCCAAAACGCCCCATAGTTCCTCGCCCAAGCGGTGTTTTTCCATGCCCATGTGTGTGTGTGTGCCAATGTATACCATGTCCTTGTGGACTAGGGACCCCTTTGGCTATGTACACCAAGGACCTTCTTTGCATCCTTCATGGGCGGCTCATATGTGGGGATGGCCTGCCTGCTCTCCTTCGTGATCGGTGGAAACATCTTCCACAACTATCTCACACGGTTCCTTGCCTCATCTCTCGATGCTCTGTTGAGACAGAACACCCCTTGCTTGGGCCATCGGCGGTTGGGATGCTATGGGCCATCAGACGGGTTTTGCCATCCGAAAGGGAGCAGAAATGTGAGGCTGCTTGCCCACGGATTTGGGTGTCAGGGGTTTGAGGGCACTCATGGGTAATAAGGGGCTGACTGAGAATTCAATACTATTGTTTCTGTTTAACATGTTCAAAGGATATTCTACGATGAAGTACCAAATCTAGACCTTGGCACATGTTCTCTCATCTAGAATCTAGAATGTTCACTCATCAGATTGCCAAAGCTACACAGCAAGGAAGACGCCCGCTCCAGACAGAAAAATTACCTCACGTGTTCCTTTACTCTCCGCTCGAAGGCTTCAATTTCTTTTCAAGAGTTTCATTGACAAATGGCAGGGCAAAACGCTGCGTGCTTCTCTCGACCCAAACGCTGCCATCGAAAAAGACATGGCAACGGTTGGATGTGTAGATTTCACAGGGAGATCCCCAACCAATGGGTTTTTGGCCTTTGTCGTTTCTCGCACGCGTCGCATGCTATGGACACCCTCAGCTAAGCGAAGGTGCACATAATTAGATCCTCAGCATGGGTTTGGGTCTATTTTCCTTCTTTCCAATGTTAACGCATCCAACAATGACCATGCCGTGGTAGTTCGATCTGTTTCACTGGCCTATCCCTACCTCTAGGATGGCGGTCTTCGCTACGCTCTTCCCAGTGAATCTACTTCTGATCCTGCAGAGTGGTGGACAGCTCTTCACAGGGAACTCGGCCACAATGGCCATGGGCGTGTTGGAGAAGAAGGTGAGGGTTAAGGTGAGGGTACATGGGGTGGGGAAGCAGATCGATATTTTTGTTGGGGGGAGGACCTTGGGTGGGATGATGGAATGGCTTTAGATTGTGGAGGACTTGATAGGGAGTTGGAAGCTGCGTTCTTTGAGGAAATCCTGACTCTGTCTCTGTATAGATGTGGACAGAGGGATGATGGTCATTCATTGCACTAGGAGTTGGCGGAACGTGTTCATCAAGCGAAAAGCAGCAGGGAATTGACTGAAGCAAATCTAGTTATACCGACGGTATAAGTCGTTTCAATCAAATTCACTCACCTCATCTAGTTTAATCAAACATGACAACTCACGAAGCCAGGCCCATTGCGTTTTGTCACAGGAACTCATTCGCAACTGGGCCATTGCCTATGCTGGAAATATTTTGGGCTGTTTGACCATCAGCGTTTTGGCCAACTACTGCGGCTTGATCACTGGAGGCCTGGGGCCCAGTTTTTCAGCCTCTTTGGCTCTCAAGTTGCGTCAGTTGGATTCCTCATTAGGTGGTTTCCCTTGAAACGTGCTGAATGGATTTACTTTAGGGCTCCCTATGCTAACTAGGAGGACGGACTTTTCACATGCTCACCAGTTTCCAAGGAATGGCAATCCCTCAGTTTTGGGTGCACGGGGTGAGCAGCAGAACATCGGCGTGAGAAGCACGGGGTTCGCTCATGAGATCACCTTGTTGCTGACCCTCTGATATTGGACAAGCCCTTTTGCTTCGTAGAGGAACGCATGGGAACACCGTTGCCCAAGGGGCCAGTTAGGCCACTTGGTCCATTTCCCTAGACTAGGGGAGGGAGGATGAGGGAGGGAGCTCTGCGTTTCCGGCGTTTCCCACCAGTTCTGGACCTGCTCTGCTCAGCTCGGCAGGCGCCCGTGACATGGTCCTGGACTTGGTGGCTCAGAAGGTCAGCGGAGCCTTTGGGCCAACCTTCGTGAAGGTGCCGCCTAGAGAGTGCTCGGCCTCCAACCTAATGGCGATGGCCTCCAACCTAAAAAACATGGCCTCCAACCGCAACCTATTAGCGATGCCCGGAGGAGGGGGGTGGAGCTTAGAGGTGGTGTCCTGACATCACCATGCATCACGTGAGAAAGGACCCAAAGAAGGAGATTGTTGGGGCACCTTGACAGACCTTTGGACAGGTCTTGTTTGGGAGTGACTTTAATGTTGGGGTGCAGTACGGTTGATAAATCCTCACTTGTCACCTTGAGTCGAAAATAGACCAACAACTCCTAGACCGCCGGGCAAGTCGGCTTCGCACCTGCACGCACCGACCGGCGAACCCCCAACAGCATGCACGGATGCTGGGCACCAGGTTTTTTCGGGTCAGGTGGGGTTCCCTGGCAGGGGGTGATGTGCAACTGGTTGGTGTGCATCTCCCTGTGGCTGTGCACCATGGCTCGGGGTTTGGGTGGCAAGATGCTGGGCGCTTGGCCTCTTGGAACGGCACGTGCCATGCGGCATGCGGAGGGAGAGGGGGTCGAATGGATGTGGTGGGGTTGAGGAAGGATTCAGAGGTCGATGAAGAATTTGTTGTGTTATGTTGTGTTTATATGTATATATACATATGTGTGTGTGAGTGTTTTCTTTTGGGGTGGGGGGTGCATTTGTATATTGTTGTGCTGGAGTTTGCCGTGTGAAATGGGTGGTCTGCTCGCGTGACACCTTCATACCATTTCATACCCTTCATACCTGGCATTTCCCGTTGTCTTGCCCAAGGATGACTCCGTAGGAGCTGGAGAAACAAACAGACTAGACGGTCGCTCCAGTGTTGAACAATTGGATGCCACCTTGAATCCGCTCCTCCGCGAGCTCGCAGCTCGCAGCTCGCCGCTCGCCGACGCCGGTCGGGTCGTGCCGAGGTTCCCGGTCTCGATGTTTGTCGCCATTGGCTTTGAGCACTCCGTGACCAGCATGTTCATCCTCCCCGCAGGTCTCCTTTTAGGCGGCGGGAGGATGAACCATGTGGAGTCCGTTCCATGCCAAAACGGAGGAAACAAGGCAAAACGGATCAATCCGAGCTACCAAAGTGTACTACCTTTTCATAGATTTGCGGGGGGGGGTAGGCTTTCCACCTTTGTTGCGCCAGGAGATTCCCGCCTGAACTTCCAATTATATACAGAAACTAGACATCATGGCCGCGGCCAAGAGTCCTCACAAGACTCGATGGCTGAGCCACCATCCGTAGCGCAGTTTGTTGGCATAGGCATTTCTATGCACCGCTTTTCTTTCGAAAACTGTGTAGATTTCTGGCTTGGTGACCCTATGACATCCGTTTGAAGACAACCCCACCCCCTTTACCCTTTGCGCTCTTTGACCACCATGCAGTTTGTTGCCGCCTTTTTCCAGGCACGCCCTTCTCATGGATGCAGCTGCTGAGCAAGAATCTCATTCCGGTGACCTTGGGCAACGCAGCTGCCGGCGTCTTCGTGGTCGCGGCCAGCATGTCCTTCGCCTTCGGCCGCTTGGGGCGATTTGGGTCGAAGAGAAAGTCCACTTGGGCCAGGACACCATGGGGGGAGGTCGTTGTGGCCTAAAGACTTGGCCATGACTGATGGGACAGACAATGCCAAATCCATCAGCTGCACCTTCCTCAGGCGGCCCAGGCGATCCGTTTCTTTGTTGTGGATTTCTTTCAGAAAGTCTGAAGGCGTCATTTTTACGATGCTTGGTGATGTTTGGTGCATGTGTTTGACCGTTGGATCGCAGTGAATCGAGGCACGTCACCACACAGTTGGTGGCGGACTTGCAATTTTTGGAACTCGTGCCTTTGAACACGTGCCTCTGACGGGCCAGACGTTCACATCGGATGGTCTGTCGGAATGGAGATGAAATGTTTAACTTGGGCCCCTGCCCAGCGAAGTGCTCTCACATGAGCAATTGCATGTGGGCGGGGGAACACCCCAGTTCCAGTCCCCTTTGTGTTTGTTGATCGGCCTGTGCCCCCATCGATCCGGGCACAGGATGCCCACATGCTTTCGAAACAGGTGTGCTTGATTTTAGTTGAATACCACTGCACCCCCTGGTAAGACTCCCAAACACTTTGTAAGGTGCATGGCATAGGCCCAATGCAACACCCGGTTTCCACAGGTTTTGGGGGGCCTTGTTTCGTGGCATTGGGTGCCTGCGATTTTCGGGCAAGGACCCGGGCCCTTGCATATCGTGGAAATAGGATGGGGTGCTTACATTCCGGATGCTTTCGCTCCCTGAGCAACATTTTACGCAATGGTTCCTGGAAAAATAAACATGGGAGTTTTTTCTCATCGCCACATCGCTCCTTTTTCCATCATTGCGGGCACATTTGCACAGATCGGACAGAAGATTTTATCAAGTGCTATGCCATGAATACACCATGGCAAGGCAGAGGCGACGAACCCACAAACCGCCGCTATACCATATTCTTAATTTGGAGGAAAAGAACTATTACAGTATACATCATGAATCATGTCATATATTACACATATAGATACAAAAGTAGAGAAATGCCGCGAACTGAAGGGGTGGGGGAAGGGAGACGTGGAGGTGCAACGAAAGGGGCATAAGGTATCCAAAGAAGGTTGCATGTGGGGAGTGTGTGTGTGTGTGTCACACTCTGTTCCTAAGAGTTTTCCACAAGCAGGGGACCAGGCAGGATGCATCGTCGCCTGGTCAACGAAGCTGGCGATGCATCCGAGGATATGGAAATGGGACGCCATTTCGACGGGCATAGGTATCAACAAAAAATATGTATCGAAACAATAAAAATTATTTACCGAATCAAAAAGAAATACTTACTGAATCAATAAAGAATATTCGTTGTGCGATAGAATCCCTTGGAACTCCCAGTCGTGTAGTGTAGGTGGCCGGTCCTCTGGTCCGCTGGTCCCCTGGTCCTCTGGTCCTCTGGTCCGCTGGTCCCCTGGTCCGCTGGTCCTGGTCCGCTGGTCCCCTGCAGTCCGCTGGTCCACTGGTCCGCTAGTCCCTTGGTCCTCTGGTCCTACGTGGATTCGATATGTGTTTTGCAAAGCTAACAAACAAGCAAGCAAGCAAGGAAGCAAGCAAGCACGAGCTGCTCACCTTTGGATCTGGTGTGCTGCTGGGGGGGGCGCTGCGCCCCCCCCAACCCCCCCGCGCCACGAAATCTGCACTTCATCCCCGGCACCCGCGCCTGCCACGAAATCAATATTTTAAGGTGAACTCCCCAGTGCAAATTTTTCTAACCAAGTAAATATGCCTCCTCTATCTCTCTATGTATCTATCGATCCATGTATCTTTCTATCTTTCTATCTGTCTATCTGCAGTTCAACATCCACAAAGTACTACACCTACACTTCCACATCAAAAACTCCTGCGCCTGCCACGAAATCTGCACTCCAAGGCCACGAAATACTACGACTACCACTACGATACTGCTGCTATTATAGTACTGTTGCTGCTCTTACTGCTACTGCTATTTGGAATATTTTTTCCCGAATGCGTAGCGAAGGGTTCTCGTTTAACTCTGGGGGTCTGGGGGTAGAGTCTTGTTCGCGATCCGTTGTTTCTATGTTCGCAACCGTCCGCAACCGTTCGCAACCGTCCGCAACCGTTCGCAACCGTTCGCAACCGTCCGCAACCGTTCGCAGTAGGACGCTAAGGCGCTGCCATTGGGGGAAGCTTTTGCAAGTGACTTTTCATGGATGTGTCACGTGTCAGTTTGCGACGCTATTCCATTGTGATTTGCATGAAAATGACATGTCGCGCAAGAAGCGTGATGCATTTCGCTGCACAGGCGCAGTGGTTTGAGAGATCCGCAGTTTACTGCGCAGTTCCATTGGGATTAGCGTTTGGAGAGTCGTGTTTTTGGGGTGTTGGGTGTGGCCGTGCCATTGGGATTTGCATTTCAGGGTGTGGCATCGAAGCTCTGTTTTCGCGACAAGTCTCAGCTGAAATGGCGATTTTGGTGGATGGGAGTGTGCTCAGAACGGGTCGAAATCATTCTAAACGTGTGGTGTGGTGCAAATTTTGTTGAAGCTCATGTGAGATGATATTCTCACTTTTCGTGGCAGGCACAGTACTTTGTGCTGATTTTGAGGTGTGGAAGTGCGATTTTCGTGGCAGGCGCAGGAAATCGTGAGGTTGCGAGGTGTGACGGAGTTGACATTTCGTGGCAGGCGCAGTACTTTGTGCGCGTTAGACGTGTGGATGCGGAAAGATTCGTGGCAGGCGCAGGGAATCGTGAGGTTGTGAGTTGTGGTAGAGGTGACTGTCGTTGTCTCATTGGGATTGGCGTGTGAGCGGGTGTTGTTTGGAGGGGCTGGAATCGCGAAACTGCTTGGCAGGGCTGCGTGATGTGTGTGCTCCGATGGGTGTTTCCGCTTGACTTTTGGAGGAAGTCTCGTACGAAACGCTCGTTTTGGAGACTTTGACACGTGAGTTTTTGAGGAAGTCTCGTACGAAACGCTCGTTTTGGAGACTTGACATATGGCTTTTGGAGGAAGTCTCGTACGAAACGCTCGTTTTGGAGACTTGACGTGTGACTTTTGGAGGAGGTCTCGTACGAAACGCTCCGTTTTGGAGACTTGACGCGTGACTTTAGGAGGAAGTCTCGTGCGAAACGCTCGTCTTGCAGCCTCGAAGCGTGACTTTTGGAGGAAGTCTCGTACGAAACGCTCGCGTGACTGCTTCTAGTGTGTGGGCAGACCGTGTCGCGACACGAGTGTCCCACAAGAGTGTCCCACAAGAGTGTTCCACAAGAGTGTCCCGCAACCGTGTCCCACAAGAGTGTCTCACAAGAGTGTCCCTTAAGAGTGTCCCACAAGAGTGTCCTATAAGAGTGCCCCACAAGAGTGTCCTACAAGAGTGTCCCACAAGAGTTTCCTACAAGAGTGTC